CATCCTTGTTCTTTTTTTGACTGGGTGATCGGTTATAGACGCCAATAACTATGTTTTTCTTATTTTTTGCTCCCTTTAAATTAAGTCAGATGTTTTCGAAGGGGATACGAAGTTCCACTCGTATTTCTGTGCAGATGCATGTGTCTCTTATGTATACTGCAACTCCACCTCCCTTTTTTGCCTTTTCTGTTTTTCCTAAACAGGTTGTATCCATCAATAGTAGAGTTCCAGTCATGTGAGTTGTCCCACCAAGTTTTGGTTATTCCTATAAGATCATAACTGCCCTTGTGTACTATGAGCTCAAGTTCATGCTGTTTGTTTCCCATACTCTGGGCACTGGTATAGAGACATCAACGTTCATTCTCGCTGCACTGTATTTTTCTTCCTCCGCTTTTTGGGAGACTGGTGTTGGGCCTTTCTTGAGGTTTTTCCTCTGTTGAGATAGGTCTTTGCCAGGTGATGGAATGCCACGCTGAACATCTTGCTCCCCTATATGTTTTCATTTAAAGCCCTTCTGATGAACCTTTTCATGTAGTGGCCACGAATCTGCTTCCCGTTGTTTGTGAGGTGCAGCCCATCATTTGCCAGGAGTCCATCTTCCAGGAACCTTACCTTGTGGTCCCAGAATCCAGATCTCTCTTTGCGGCACCACCATCATATAGCCAGTCATTCTCTTGAAGGATTTTTCTTTCCCTAACACTTCCTCTTCCACATACTTGGTGGTGGACTACAGTGGTCTATGTAGCTTACGAACTTAATCCACGACTCTGGTCGCTACCCAAATTAGTTGTGAGCCAAGTCAAATTTCCCCATAAGGTTCAATGTAATTAAGGTAAAATAAATAAATAAATAAATAAATTCTGTTCTGTAACCATTTTTTTAACTCACAAAAATTTGAAGCAAAGTGACAAAGAACAACAAAGATCACAGCCATCTCCCCCCAGCATGACTGCGATTGCGCCCGTGTTCCCTGCACAAGCGCGACCACGACTGCAGCCACAGATGGGCGCAATCTTGGGTATGCCCGGGGGGGATGGGACAGGCACAATCGCGGGCACACTTGGGGGAGGGAGACAGGTGCGATCACGAGCATGCTGGGTGGGGGGATGGGCACGATCTCGATCGTCACCCGATGCAGAGTTTACAACCTGAGGCAAAATTTTTCAGAAATTTCTGTTCGCAACCCGATTTGGTCATGAACTGAGGTTTCGTGAGCTGAGGCACCACTGTATCTGGGCCCCAGTGTTTTTTATTTCTCTCCTTCTAACCCTGATGTTTTATCAATGAAGCTTCTCATGGCAGTGTTGTTAGTTCCCTCATGGAAGAAAGGGAAGGGGTATTCGTCAGTGGGTTGTATGAGCTGTGTGAACTTGGTTATATCTTCAATCTTGGTGCCAGGGAGACAGCTTACTCGGCAATTCTCTGGGTCTTCGCGACATTCATATTTTTCCATCTTGTGCAACAGGGAATCTCCCACAGCTATCACTGTTCTCCTTTTGGTGTTGCAAACTTTGCTATCTTTTTCCTTTCTTGATTGGCCTTTTGTCTCTTTTTCAGTTCCCCAGTGTGTTGTGCAGTTCTTTCACAGTGGGTTTCTCACATGTCCCTTCCTCAAGTAACGTGAAGCAGTTTAAGAGTTCCACTGCTTCCACAGGTGTTTTCTAGGTCTTCTGCATCTAACTGCCACCCAGTTCCAGCGAGTTTTTCCCTTCCTCGTGCTTCTCTTCTGCTGCCTCAGCTTGCTGATGCTCTTTTTGCTTCTGGACTACACTTAGCCATTGCAGCTGTTGGGAAAATTTGGATAAATCCTGTCAGAAAAACATTGCTTCTGTGTGCTTTTTGCATTGTGGGATCAAATCCTTCCTTCTCAAAACCAAGCTGTCACTGTTTAAAATGACATTCCCTGCTCCTTTCTCTCACCTTTAGCTGTAAGCTACAGTAGACAGGCCATTTAGTCCAAATATACATTGTAAATAGTCATTGTTGGAATTCAAGGAAGTATCTTCCTAGCCCAGAGGCTCCATGTGCCCTGGCCAATTCAGAATGTCTAGAGTCTAGATAAGAGTCTTGAGCTCATGCACAGTTTCAGTGGCTTGAATTCACATGTCTAGGCAGACCTGGAGATGGGTTCAAGCTACTGAACTAAAGTGTCAATACAGGCAATTAGAAATATTGTAATCTCATTGCTACTGTGTGATTGACTGACATTTCTTTATCTGTTCTGTATGTGATGAGCTCAGAATCTCATTGTAAGCTCTGCATTCTGTCATCAATTGCCCTGTACCTGTGTACCTATAAATGCCCTGTAATGGTATTGAAGCTTGGCAGCAGAGTTCACCTCTGCCTGCCCGGTAATGCATGCATTATCGTGAGTACCGTGGGAACCTTGGGGTAATACAATAAAGCCTCAGATGGTCTGGATGCTTGATCTTTCCCACGAACCCGAGTTTTATTCCCACTTCTCAAATTGAGATTCTGGGGTTCTGACACAGCTCCTCTGCTCTGTCTAAAAACCCTTCATTTTGTTTTATTATCTGGAAGGTAGACACTTGCTGCTCCAGCGCTCTCACCTTTCCCTGTAACAGGGCTACCGGTGTGCAGCTGTCGCAGGCCAGCACCGCGGTGGGATCTCCTCGGCCCATTGCTTGTGCAGCTTTGGCGATTCTCCTGGCGGGGGGGCTGTGGTGGCCATTGGTGCCTTTGAACGGCTTCACTCAAGGCTAGCAACACAGTCCCACCAGGACATGGGAGTGTGTTACAAGGGAGAAAACAAGTTTGTGTGTGTGTGTGTGTGTGCAGACGGGAATGAAGGCAAAATAGAGAAGAGAAGCAAAGGGGAGAAAAATGTTAGGGACCTCCCCCACCGAACTGCTCCACCAAAGTCCTGTTTGCTCTCCCTGGTCGGTCGCTCGCTCCGTGGAAACTCGGGTGCTTGAATCCCACGGGCCCTAGACCAGCTGGGGCAGCTTCCTCTGGTTTGTTTTGCTCAGCTAGGAGTCAGGAATCGGACTGAATTACGCCACCCACAGAACTGCTGCTGGCTGATCAGGCCGCTCTCCTTCAGTTAATCAGCAACCAGCTGCTCTGGAACTTCCCTTCAATTGTCTCTTAGAAAAACAAGGCTTTTGGCTGGGCTACTGCAGGCCTGTCTCTGCTCTGCCTCTGCCTGCCTTTGTCTCCTCTTCCTGTTTGCTCTCCCGAGTCGCTCCCTCCTTCCCTACCTCCCTCCCTTGGAGCTTGGCTCCTTGTATCCCAGAGGCCCTAGACCAACTGGGACAGCTTGCTCTGCTCTGCTCTGCTAGGAGTCAAGAACCAGAATTTTTACAATTCCCAGTCTTCCCAGCCATGATACTGGTAATTGCATCTAATTCCTAAAATCTTTTTTTAATCATTGTAAGAACATGAAAGGCACCATGTTGGATCAGGCAAAAGACAATTGAATCTGGCCAACCAGCTTTCCCAGTGAGAAATCCACAAGCAGGACGTAAGTGCAACATGGGTACTCTCCCACCCATGTTCCCCAGCAACTGATGTACCTTGGCATTCTGCCTCTGATACTAGGGGGTAGCCTACAGACACCAATATCTTAGCTAATCTCCATGAATTTCTCTAGTCCCCTTTTAAAGCCATCTGAATTGGTTGACAACACTATCAAGGAGCAAATCCCATAGTTTCACTATGCATTGTGCAGAAAAGCTCTTTATCTTGCATCTCCCTCCATTCCGTTTCATGGGATGATGGGTTCTAATATTATGAGAAGGAACGAAAAATGTCTCTCTCCACTTTCTCCACACCAGGCATAAATTTGTACACTTCTGATATATCTCCCCTCACTTGCCTTGACCATAAGAACTTATTCTATATTTGACATTTTAGCTTTAAAATCTGTCATCTCTTCCTATAACAAAAAGTTGCTTCCTTCCACGATTCTGGCCACGTGCAGAGGTGGGCTGCCTGCACACACCAGTGACTGAAGAGCTTGGGCAGGCAGAGGCCTCGCACCCCTCCTGCTGGACGGAGCCTGCGGGCAGCTGTTTTGCCCCTGTGTGTACTGGGTGCTGGACTAGATGGCCCTTGGGTCTCATCCAGCAACACTTTTTTTCATGCTCTTACGTTCTTTTGATGAATTAAATGAACATTCAACAAGTATGTTCCATTCAGCACATGGTCAGAGTTTTCTTTCTTTTTCAGCTTCTTTCTTTTCTTGCTTTATTCTAACCTTTTCTTGCTTTGTTCCAATGCACCAGGTTTTTATCAGTCAAAAAGTATGGAAGGTGGGGAGTGGGTGAGAGAGAAATGCTAATTTTCTGCACAATTTCTGTGTGTTTTATTTCCCTCTCTCCTCTCCCATATATTTTTGTCTGTGGAGTTGGGATTTCTTTGTGGGTTGCAACCTGTTTCACAGGCACTTTGGAATAAGGTCTGTTGAACACGATGGGCCTTCTTACAGGTTGGATCAGGTTGGACCAATTGTGTTTTATCTGAGGAAGAGGTGATATTCATTGGTGCTACACATTCGAAGTAGGTGATACCATCTAAATCAGTTCACACATAACAATCTGCCTGATTTATCCTGCTTTACTCTGAACGAGCAGCTGCTTGCAGTGTACACGACCTGTTCATAAAACCAACCAGAAGCAAATCTTGTCTTTCAAACCTGGACTCCTGGTTTGTTGCTCCCAAGTACGTCAGGATTTGTAAGTCTGCTGATGGCTTGAAATTTATTTATTTATTTTATATGCCATCCAATTCTAAAGTCTCTGGACAGTTTACAAAAAACAAAGCAACCATATACAACAAACAACACCCAAAACCCAAAACTGATGCCTGAAGTGAGATTTGAAGAAGGGTCCCATGCAGTGGTGCATACAATTGGGGTTTATTTTTTTACTTTGCATGGAGATGTGTAGTTGAAGGGCTCCTGTATTCTGAAATATTTTATTCTTCTGCTTTGTTTTTCCTGGTACTAACTTTCTACTGCATGTGTCTCTTTAACTCAGGAAGAAATTCCCCTTTCAACTCAGGAATACCTTCACAGACTACTGGGAGCTTCTGATGGTTGCAGCTTTCTAATCATGAGGCAAATCTTTCTGATCCAGAGCAATTCCATAAGACTCTTCTAAGACTGAGCTGGTGATTTTCTTCTCTGTATTAAAGCAAAACTGGGAGGCAGAAAAGAAAGCTGCTGCAAGAGAATTCAGGAGGAGATTGAGAGGAAAAAAGAATGAAGGAGCGAAAGTCAACAGAACTGGAAGAGGGACTGGAAGGGGCGGGAAAAACCACCAGTGCTGTTCAGCCAGACTATAATGTGAAGCAACCAGGATGGGGAATGTCGCAAATGAGCAAAGGAGAACCATCCAAGGGGATGCAGCAACGCTGGGAAGTCCAATGGCAGGAGTTCCTGAAGACGCTGCAGTCTCCTCATTCAACTTGGGGGAACCTTCCACTGTCAGAGACAACTCCATGGGAAGACACCAAGGCCTTCCTGGCCTCCTTCGAGCAAGTGGCCAAGGCCTGCCGGTGGCCTAGAGCGGAGTGGGCAGCTCGGCTCCTGCCAGCACTGAGTGGGGAAGCTGAGCAGGCCTTTCAGAGTCTGGAGGCCAGAGACCGGGAGGACTATGGGAAAGTGAAGGCGGCCATCTTGCGAGGGGAGGCCCTGAGAATGGAGATGCAGCGCCAGCTCTTCCGGCAGTTCTGCTGCCAGGAGGTGGAGGACCCTCGTCGGATTCACAGCCAGCTCCAGGAGCTGTGCCGGCAGTGGCTGAAGCCGGAGCGGCACAGCAAGGAGCAGATCCTGGAGCTGCTGATCCTGGAGCAGTTCCTGGCCAGCCTGCCACCTGACCTCCAGGGCTGGATCCGAGCGGGAGGGCCGGACTCCTGTTCCCAGGCAGTGGCCCTGGCGGAGGACTTCCTGATGAGCCAGCAGGAGGCCGAAGGAGGGAAGTGGCAGGTGAGGCTTCAAAGTTTATTAACAGAAACAGAGATTGGGTTCAGACGACCCACATTTCAACAACAATCCAGGATTCAGTGACAACCCACATTCAGCCCTAGAGTGTGGATTATTGTGTTGTTTGAACCCAGCCAGGATGTGGATTGGCTTGTTGGAATTGTGGTTCTTCAGTCAGAAGCCAGTGGGGACCCCATAAGAATGAGGTTGCAGTGGATACCCAGCCACTGAGTAGTGTTTCCTTCAGAACTCCAGCCAGGAACAGAAACATCACAGCAAAGGAAAAGGACACATTCTTCCTCCCCACTCTCCTGCAGCCTTCTGCCTGCCGAGCCAGATAGCCATATAGCATGAAAGAACTTGGCTTTGGAGATATCCGCTAACACAAGACATAAATGTTTTCTTGCTATATATCTGGGTTGAGGAGGGCATTTTGGACAGTGAGAAACAGGAATTATGCTTTCTCTCTGCCCCACAACTTCTCTCCTGGGCTGGAAAGGAGAGGCGTTTGCAACATGCAACCTTGCCACTCCGATTCTGATAAATTTCTGGGCGGTTCATGTTCAGACAGCAAAGCCCTTCGCCAGTTCGTTTTTCAGCAGACACCCTTTTCATCCTTCGAGTCTGGGAATTCACGTGCAAAGGCCCTTGTCATGCTGTTCTTCTGTGCCCCAGTGTGTGTGTTTCCTTGTTCTCCTTTCACATTTCCTTGTTTCTTTCTCCACACCTGCATAATCTTGCTGCTTCTCTCTCGTGCGCCCCTTACTTACCTTTCTGCTAAGCTACACAGTCCCAGACCTGCAGAAAGAAGAACCTAGGAAGCTACCTAATCCTGAGTCATGCCATGCTGCCCATAATGGTTGCCCCTGACTGGCGGCGGCTCTCTGGAATTTCAGGCAGGAGTTTTTTGAGGCCTAAAAAATGGAGTGCAGGGGGCTTGAACCCAAGACCTTTGGTAGGCCAAGCACATGCTGCAGCACTGAGCCAAGCTTTTCTGCTGCCCTCTGAAAGCCATCCTAGGAAGACCATTGCCAGGCATGTTTGGCATCCGCAGTAACCAGGTGTCCATGGACTCAAACAGCCCCATCAGAATCCAGAATCTGTGGAAAGTTGGATTTGCAAACAGCTGCTCAGTGGGTTTTATCCCAAAGGGAATAGAATCGAAGAGTGCAGAGCGAGTCCCGTACACATCCCTGTTGCTCTCTCAGCCGCATCCCTCCGTACCATTAAGATCCCCCTCGCTGTTGCAGGGGCCCTTGCCAGATGTGTGTGTAGGCTCCGTGGAGGCCGAGGAGGTTTCATCGGAGGTGGTGCAGACACAGATCTACAAAGAAGGCAAGCAGCTCGGACAGGAAGAGATCTGTCTCTTAGGTAAGGTTTCCTTAAGTTCCTAAGTGTTCTGTATCTTGTGTGTGAGAGAGAGAGAGAATAAGGACGGGCAGCTGTCGAAGGTGGTCTGTGGGTCTACCTATAGCATTCTTGTGAGGATTTTGGCAGCATCGGTTTCTCCTGCAGGGAGCAAGAAATAACACACCCTCTGAAGTCCTTTCCTCTACCCAGTTTTGAATGTGCTGTACTTTTTGGAGGTGCCAGATCTAGAAGAGTTGAACCAGCCTTCCAAACAAACAAGCTTCTTTTAAAGCTTAGCCACAGCAGAAAGACGGCTCATCTGAAGTAGTCCATCTTCAGGCCTTAACCAAGTTTTCAGACTTTCCCAGTTTTGACTTGATTGGAACTCGGTATAATAGCATCCTTTGCAAGTCACATCCTCTGTACGATTGTTGAAGTAAATTAGACAAGACTTAAGCTGCCGGATCAAATCGGAACTGAGCAAAAGCCCTCTGAACATGCCTGAGAGGTGAGAATGCTCAGCTTGAAAAGCGACTGGATGTGGGCGAGGCACGGATGGGTGTGGATGAGTCTTCTTTTGGGGCGATCAGGTTCGGAATCCTGGACCTTGTGCAGCTGGAGTGAATTTCAGCACAGGCTCTTTGCTCCGGGCCCTCCAAACAAGCTGTTGCTGCCAACATTTACAGGTGTTGGGAGCTAGGTTTCCCCCGTCACACGTTCAAAACATCAGACCATTCTTTGGTGAAAGCTCTCTATTCTCCAGTGTACATCCAGTAAAGCAAAGAGCTCGCAAGAGCAGTTTGTTGGTGGGCCAGCCTCTTAGCTGTTTGCCACTGCTTTAGCTGGCTAACCCTTCTCTCCCAGCACCACAATACAGGGTCGGGGTCGTACGAGGCTCATCTGGCTCCTGGGGCTGTCGTCCCACACCCCCTCCCCACAGTTGCAGGCTCTGGCTTTTCTCAGGGTCCTCCTGAGCACCTGGAGGGATGGCCTTGAGATAAGCCCTTCCGGTCTCTTCCATCTTGATCCCTGGTGGCGCCTTTTCCCAGGGCTCGTCCGCTGCCGCATGGGGAGGCTTTGCGTTTCTCCAGCCCTGAAACACACAGCAAGAACAACAGCCTCTTTCCTTCCAACAGGGGTGGGCAGTTTCTTCTTCTAAAATCTCCTCTCATTCTTTGCAGAGAGCGGAATCAAATGCCCCAGTCTTTCCAGCTCATCGCTAATTCCCGAAGGGCAGGAGATGAGCGGAGCCGGGCCAAGCGAGGTGCGTGTCTTGGGTTGTTATGCGCAGCGCTCAGAATCACAGCATATGCCAGCTCTCGCCAACCTGCTGCCCTCGAAGCGTGTTTGACTTCCAGGGTTCCTGACCAGTGTTCATAGTGGCTGGGGATGATAGGAGTTGGTTCAATTCATATGAAGGGGACCAAGTCACGCAATTAATGCATAAGATTATGAGCCATCCAGAGACTCAGTGTGACTGGACAGTCTAAAAATACCCCAAATAAATAAATCATGAGAACTTCCACTGTAGAACAATTTGTTTTTGTGAATAAGCCGCCCCGAGGCTTCGGCAAGGGGCGGCATAGAAATGTTATAATAATAATAATAATAATAATAATAATAATAAAAAATAACTAATTGCCATGAAAGACGTCCTTTAAATGTTCTTAATAATATTTCAAAGCACTTGGCAGCCATATTCATGCTGTAATAACCTTGTAAGGGTTGTTTGTATTATAGAATCATAGCGCTGGAAGGGACCATTAGTTTCGCCTCCTGTTTGATGCAGAAATCCAGTTTAAAGCATCCGCAGGGAATAGTTGTCCAGTCATTGCTTGCATACTTTCAGTCATAAAGAGCTCTTTTATCTCAGGATTAGGAATGTTAGCCCTAAAGTTCAACCAGAATCTGCCTTCTGGTAACATAAGCCCACGATTTGTGTCTTGGATGAAAGAGAACAGGTTATGCCCCTCTTTTGCATAAGAACCCTTTATGTACCAGAAAACTGCTGTTATATTCCCCCTTCCAGGATTCTCTTAAGTCTCAAGATCACCAATTCCTTTGCTCTTTCTTCATAGGAAAGTTGTTTCTAGTTTCATGATCTGCTTTGTTGCCCTTTTCTGAGCTTGTTCCAGTTTGTCTAAATCCTTCTTAAGGTGTGGTGGATAATCTCCCATAAGGCAGTCGGGATGAATGAGGGAGTCCAAAAGAGACTAATCCAAGGACTAAAAGAGTGCCAAGAACCACTTTGTGTCTTCATAGCAGAGGCAAGAGTCCAACCAGGAATTTCCTAGTTCACAGCTTAGCCATTACTCCATATCAGGTCTCATTTATTCATTCATTCATTCATTCATTCATTCATTCATAATATTTATATGCTGTCCTATCGCGAAGGCCTCAGGACGGCTTACATAAATGAAATAATATAAAACATAACACAAATGAATTACAGGCCCACACTGGTTGCAGTTAAAAACATATAAGAACCAATATTAAAACTTATCAAAATATCGTTGAAATAAAAAGGTCTTAACCTGGCGCCGAAAAACAAATAACAATGGCGCCAGGCGGACCAATGGGGAGCGCATTCCATTTGCTTACATGTATTTTTAATTTAATGTTTATATTTTTGATTTATATTATAATTATTTTAACTTAGTGTTGTAAGCCGCCCCGAGGCTTCGGCGAATGGGGTGGCATAAACATGTTTTAATAAATAATAAAAAAATCCCTTTAACTGGTTGCTGATCAATCTGCATTCTGATTTGCTCTGGGGGAAATTATGCAGGCCAGACTTTCAAACACACACGTGCTATACTTCAAGCATTCCCAAAATCCTACAATGAACCGTCACATCCTGACATCTTGTTTCTAGTTCTCATGTGTGCCAAGGATAAGTCCAGTGAGACCCCGTGTGATACATGGCCTGCCATTTTGACCTCCGGGTTCCACATTTTTCCACCTCTGCAGTGTTTTTCTTTTGCATCATGAAGCAAAGAAACACGCAGCCTGCTTTCTTTTCCAGACAATTTAAGATGGGCCTTGGGAAAAGAAACCTACAAAGAAGAGAACAAGCTAAAAGAACCTTCATGATGCTTTTTGGGTGGGTGGGACAATCCTTAGTGTGGTGGTCAGGCAGTTAAAAAAAAGCAAAGCCCTACTCTGATCCATTTTTTTTAAGTTCCTCCACTAAGAAGTTGTCTGCAGGTTATTAACTTACGTATTGTATTTAAATCCTGCCTTTTCTTCCTGCAAGAAATCCAAAGTGGCTCCCATGACCCTCCCTCCCATCACATTTGTTGTCAACACTACATTTTTTAATTTTATTTTTATTTATTAAAACATTCTATGCTGCCCCATTTGCCGAAGCCTCGGGGCGGCTCACAACATAAAATATAATACATAAATTAACAATATAAAATAAGTCGCCCTGGCCAGATAAAATAAACAAATAATATTAGCAATTAAAATGACGTTTAAATAAAAAGGTCTTCGCCTGGCATCGTACGGAAATGAATTCCATATTGGATTCTCCACTGTAGGAAGAAATCTTTCCTTTTTTTCCTCTTCTGAATCTTCCCCCCCCATCAGCTTCATAGTGGGGTGTAGTGGTTACGAGCATGGGATTGGGACTCTGACGACCTGGGTTCTAGTCCCCGCTCAGCCATGGAGCCAACTGGGTGAATTTGGCCAGTCACAGACTCTCAGCCCAACCTACCTCACAGGGTTGTTGTTGTGGGGATAAGATGGAGGAGGAGAGATGATGTAAGCTGCCTTGAGCCCTTTGTAGGAAAAAGGCAGGATATAAATCCAAAAATAAATAAATAAATAAATAAATAAATAAATAAATAAATAAATAAGGCCCCTTTGGGTTCTCATATTATAGGAGAGGAAGAAAACGGTTTCCATCTACTTTCTTCATGCCAGGCATAATTTTGTGTGCTTCTGTCATTTCTTGCTTGCTTTTTCCCCTAAGCTAAACAACTGCAGTTTATGGAAACATTCCTGCCTGGGCATATTCACTCCAGCACAGGTGATCTGGAAGGGGTGGTTTATAAACACCCCCCCACACACACACTAATTATCCTTTGCACAGATTATCAGCTACAACAAGAATGTTAGTGGAAGGAGTTCTCCTCTTTGTTTTAATTGGGTTGATGGGTTGGCAACCTACTTAACGATTCTGCATTTTGGAGGACAAGGACCTGGACTTCGGCTTGTAGATTAACACAGCTTCTTATGCAGTTGGTGGGGATTGCTTTGTGTTTGCAGAGACTCCTGAACCTCAAGGAGACGGGCGTGTCTTTGCATGTGGTGGAACGGACCCTGGCCCAGCCCGGCCAGCAGACCCTGTTCTGGCAAGTCCTGCCGGAGGAAGATGGAAACATTCAGTCTTTTGGTAAGGGACCCTCAAGTCCAGCAAGCATCCGATGGGGAACTTTTTCAAATGAGAAAAAGGTAGCTAGAAATGCAAAAAGAGAGGGACCCATTCACATTCTCTGTATGATAAAAAAGTATCATACGGTTGATCCTTAATAGCAGATTCACATGGTTCTCAAGCGGAGCTGCGAATGGCTCCCATAGAAAGGGTATGAGAGGAGAGCCGAGTAATTAAACCTTTCAGAAGTATTGAAAGTGTCATGAGAAATGCTCTTAGTTCTGTAAAGCTTGCCTCAGTGAAAGTGTGTGGTTCGTGGATGTGTGCAATTTGCAAAATTTACTATGCCCAGGAGCAGAATCTGACTAGGTTCAGATGACACAATAGACCATATTCAGGGGTTAAGTTCAGGTGGCCTTTGTGGGTTGTCTCTCTTGGAATGTGGACTATCGTGTTGCCTCAACCTAGTGGAGATCAGTGTGAAGAAAAACCTGCATTCCATAACCCAACAATAAGCCATGGGTTCTCTCTATGCAGTCTTGGTGGTTAACAAGCCGTGGGAACCCAGTGCAGCTGGGTTCAGAGAACAGGATAACCCAACAGTTATTACTATTATTATTATTATTATTATTATTATTATTATTATTATAACATTTCTATGCCGCCCCTTGCCGAAACCTCGGGGTGGCTTACAACACAATAAAATACATTGAAATACAATAGGACATAATAAATTACCGTTAAATACAAAAATACAAAAAATACACTGAGTTACAAATATAAAAGTAAAATTATCAGTATAAAATAAGTAAATAAAAATATAGGAGGAGAAAAGAGAAGGAAGAAGAAGTTGCCCTGGCCAGATCTATGTTTTAACAATTAAAATGATGTTTAAATAAAAAGGTCTTTACCTGGCGCCGAAAAACCAGTAACGACGGTGCCAGGCGGACCTCTTTGGGGAGTGAATTCCATAGGTTGGGCGCCACCGCAGAGAAAGCCCTCCTCTGGGTACTTACTCTCCTAATTTCTTTCATGGAAGGTTCCCGGAGAAGGGACTCTCCCGCAGATCTCAAAGGGCGGTCGGGCATATACGGACGTAAGCGCTCATTCAGGTAGCCAGGACCCAAGCCGTTTAGGGCTTTATAGGTCATAATCACCTTGAATTGGGCCCGGGCTTCAATGGGAAGCCAGTGAAGCTGACGGAGGACTGGAGTCATGTGAGCATAACGCCCCCGTCCCCGTCAGCAA